CCTGCTGAATTTCCATGTATAAAAATAAGTGAAATGCTGAAGGGTAGATCACTTTCATTCCACTTATAAAGTTTTTCTCCAGTGCAATTGCTCACATTGATCATAAGATTTTAAATGAGAAAAGACTCTTCCATAGTACTTGCATTCAGAATTGTATCATCAAATTATTTCGCAAAGATGTGGAAAACCGGAAGGCTTTCCCTCAATGCTGACATTCATAGGATTTCAGTGTGTATTCTCCCATGTGACTGAAGGTAGCCTCGCTGTGTGAACGCTTTCCCACAATGCTCATATTCATTGGGTTTCTTCCAAGTGTGTGTTTTCACATGTGACTGAAGGTGATGTTGTCGCCCAAAGACTTTTCCACACCGTTCATATTCATATGGTTTCTTTCCAATATGTGCACTTGCACATTCATAGAGAACTGATTCACGGTGAAAGGCTTTCCCACAGAGCTCATATTAGGTTTCGCTCCAGTATGTGCTTTGGCATGAGAATAGAGGGTGGAATTCTGCTTGAAGACTTTCCCACACTCCTTACATAGATACAGTTTCTCCCTAGTGGGCATTTCTAACTCTAACTTTGGTGACTCTAACATGCGACTTCAGGGAGGCTTGATGACTATAAGCTTACCCCCACTGCTCACATTTCTGGGGTTTATCTCCCAAGTGCATCCTCATATGACCTCGTAAAGAAGACAAAAAAGAAAAGCCTTTCCCACACTCCTCACATTTACAGAGATTCTCCCCAGTGTATTCTTACATTTGATTGAAGGGAGACTCGCTGTGTGAAGGCTTTTCCACACTGCTCACATTTATAGGGTTTCTCCCTACTGTGTATTCACATGTGTCTGAAGGTACCATTGTTGCCTAAAGGCTTTTCACACTGTTCATATTCATAGGGTTTCTTTCTACTATGTGCTGTTGCATGTGTATGGAAGGTGGAATAATGCCTGAAGGATTTCCCATACTCCTAACGTTCACACGGTTTCTCTCCAATGTGTATTTTCACATGTGACTTCGCAGAGACTCAATGACTGTAAGCTTTTTCACACTGCTCACATTTGTAGGGTTTATCTCCTGAGTGTGTTCTCACATACTTTTGTAAAGAGGGAGATAGATAAAAATCTTTCCCACACTCTTTATATTTATGGGGTCTAAACCCCTTGTGAGAGCTCACATATCCTCATAAAGAGGACAAATTAGAGAAACCTTCGCCACACTAATTACATACAGAGAATTTCTCTCCAGTGTGGGTTTTTTTTTTTTTTTCATGTAACTTAAGAGACGCTTGACGACTGTAAGCTTTCCTACACTGGTCACATTTGTAGGGTTTATCTCCTGAGTGCATTCTCACATGTCTTTGTAAAGTGGAGGATAGACAAAAACCTTTCCCACACTCCTTACAATTATAGGGTCTCTCCCCTGTGTGTGTTCTCACATGAACCTCGTAAAGAGGACAAAGAAGAAAGGACTTTCCCACACTCCTTACATTTACAGAATCTCTCCCCAGTGTGTATTCTTGCATGTGCCTGAAGGGAGAATCGCTGAGTGAAGGCTTCTCCACACTGGTCACATTCATAGAGTTTCTTTCCAGTATGTGAAAGTGCATGTCTTCAAAAGGTGGACTGAGGCCTATTCCAAGTCCTGGAGCTGGGAGGAAGCTCCTGGTAAAACATGCATCCCCAGATAATTTTTTAATGTGAAAGGTTATGAAGTTTAAGAAGTTTTCACTTTGACCATTTCTACTGAGTGATAATCCTGAAAAGCTATTAATCGTATTATTCTATGGTCACCCTTATGAGGTTGTGAGGTTCTACGTAAACAATTTTAACTTTAAAAGAAATGTTACTCTTTTCTTCCTTTATAAAATTCTCACTTGACTCCCCACTTGCTCGGTTGTGCCCACTCCCTTGGCGCTATTCCAGTATTGCCCCTATTACTGTGTAGCACCATTCACTCAGAGTTAAGTTCCAACCTGTAGAAACTCTCCAAACCATTCACGCTTTCAACAGCAGTCAGAAAATCACACTAAGTTCCACTAAAGCTCTGGACGATGCCAAGCCACCCTTCAAGAAACAACTTCATGCTTTCTGTTCATTAATCCCTCCCTTTTCCCTTCTGCCATGGTGTTACCCCATCCTGGCATGCAGTGACTCTCTAGCACCTCGATATAATGAACTATGTTTCTGAGCCTTCCTGTGCCCCCTCAGCCAATGCAAATGGCTGCTAACCCCTGAAGGCACAAAGGACAGGGGCAGGCTCATACTCCCAATAAGCACTCAGAAGACATCCCTCCAAAACTCCAGAGTCAGCTTCGGAGGAGTACAGGAGGCCCACGAACTGTATGTCCACAAGGAAAACCCTCTGCGCATAGGGAAGCGTTAACTACGCAAACAAAGCTTTGACCATGCATGAGTTTCTTGGTTCTGATATCAAAAGGCAAGACTCCTGTGGAAAACGTCAAGGATGGACTCTTCTCCGCCACTAGTGGAATCCCACTGTGGGATTGTGACCCACACCTCCCGTGCTGTGACCGGTCCGTGCAGCTATGGCGAGCCTCATGAGTGTTGGTGTCTCCATGAACAATGGTCTTATTTCTTGATGAATCAATGATGCTGGAAAGTCCATCTGACAATGATTGGAACTGCTCGGGTACAAGCTTCCTCTCTGCAAAGGTGGTACAGGTTACCATTACAGACTATATCCTCTCTCTATGTCTTCTTTCCAGTCCCTGAGATGTGCTTCCCTTACACAACAGGGAACACGCTGTTGAGGTGGACACACTGTCTATAAACCCCTGGGTAACTTGTCATGATGCAGACTGCAGGTTGTTCTGTATAAAATGCAAAGTAAATGTTTTTTTAACAATAAAAAAAAAAACCCACCTCAACAGCGTGGTTCTGGCTCAGGTCTATAGAAAATACAACATCTGCACCATGCATAGCGCCAGAGAAACATCTCTGAAGGCCACCTGACAAAGAGAAACCGAGCTTTGTCCCCTGAGGGCAAAGCAACAGAACCGTAAGCCAGCTGATGAAAAGAGAATAGCAATACCCATTTTTTTTACCAGTGAAACAATACAAGGGACCATCACTGGGCAGTAGCATTATCAGTCAATTCCCATCCACCAGGAGAACAAAAACCCTGTGGATATCAGCAAGGTTACCAGCAACAAGGAATAAGACAGAGATAGTTCTGTTCTGGTATCGGCTTTCCATTAAAAATAAACAACAACAACTCTAAAAGATGTTTGAAAACAGTTAAAGACAGAATTTCCAGAATTTAGCAGAGTTTACTCAAGGCCCTTAATGCCTAAAAACAAAAGCTGCGTCTCCTACCTCACTTCCACCATGTCGAAGAGCCCACCTCACCTAGAAGACCGCTTGTCCCAGCTATCCACAGACAACTAGGGAAGATGTACATTAGCTTCCTCTCCCACATTTCTGAACTGCAGGAGCATGACTCCTGGTGTCTGGCTGGCAACCACTGACATAGCAATAGTCAGGTTTCAGTATTACGATAAAAAAGTCATTTTTATTTTTAAAAGTGATAGTTAAGAAAAAACATACCAGAAAATAATTTCAAAAGGTACATTTATTTATTACTATTATCCCAGAATATGTGAAAATCTTCACAATTATGAGAATAAGTTCTTCCTTAGAATGGATTAACATATTCTCTCAATTAATGAAATATAAAACGTAGTATGTGTCGGTATTTAGCATTTTTGAAAAAACTGAATAATAATAGCTACCTAAGAAACGATGAAAAAAGTCCATTTGAAAAAGTGCATATTGTTTGAAACAATTTAAAAATGAAAGAAACACTTAGTAATCACATCTAAAAATTGAACATAATTAAACATACTGGGTTTATCATTAGAGAGCATTCGGCTCTAAGAGAAAACTTCCACAAAGTGCCAAACATATTCACAAAGGCTTTTTTCAACAATGGAAGTATCTAGAAACAAGAAATAAAGGATCAGTGCAGCTTCTAAACAAAGTAATCTGGGAAGTAAGATTCCTACATTTTGCTCAGCACTAAATGTGTTGGGATGGAGGCAAGAAAATATCTGCCAACAGAGAAACAAGATGCTTCTTATAAAAATCATGTAATTAAGAGAGTCTTAGGAGATGAAGCGGGTGACAGATTGAGAGATTGCTAGGTCAGAGACCTGGAAAAACTGTCCTAATGGACATCAAAGAGCTACAGGAAAATGCGAGGATCTGTGTAAACTTGAAAACCAAAGAAAGCCCATGATGCGGGAGGCCCAAGAATAGTCTGTACAACATGCTGCCTATAAAGAAACTAACAGCAACCATGAGTTTGGTTGGAGCTGTCACAGATGGGCAGAGCCAGGACTCAGAAGACTGTGCTGTAAGTCAGGCCCACTAGATTCCCATGCATTGAAGTCTCCTGACAGTACAGAGAACTGACTCATGGCTTCTTCAGCTCTGCCTTCCAAACCTCAGGCAACTTTCTTTTCTCGTGACCTTTACCTCAAACAATAACCAGAAGGACAATGGGATACAGTTTCCCACCTCACCCAAACTGACAAGACAAATCAGTGGAACCTTCTGGACATCAGCTTTCATCATCACATAACAAAGTCTTTCTTCATTACTCTGTATTGTGCTCAATATACAACCAAAATCAAGGACATTGAGCAGAAGTCAAATTATGAACATAATATGAGGCGATCTGGCCATAATTATTAAAATCTATGAAGAACGCAGATGTGGAATTCACTAACAAATGTGAAAGACACATCTTTCAATAAATAAAGACTGAAGGAGAGGATAGCTATCAGGTCACAAAATTCCAGTATTTGCAGCAGTGGGCAAGAACAGAGATTCAATAAAGGTCTCATATCATGATCATACAGTAGGAACATAATGGAATGTAAGAATAAAAATTTCTTTCACCTAAAGTTATATCAAGTTTCACATGAAAAAGTCACTTATTACCCCCGGATGCAAAATATATTTTAATGGAAATGAGGCATGTTTTATACAATTGTACAATTACTTAAAGTCAAAAGTGATATATATGTAGTACAGATAAAGAGATGTAGAGAAGTACGTATCATCTCAAGTTTTCATGTCAGAAACATGAACCAAAATTAAAACGCTGGAAATCGCTTTTAAGAATAAACTATTTACAAAGGTAAAACCATACTTATAATAATTAAGAGATTTCAATCCTGCTCTGGGTTTTTATGTACAAAATAAGTGAACTGCTACATCCAAAAATTTTTCCAATTTTCATCTATACAGTTTCTCTCCAGTGTGTTTGCTCATATTTGTAACAAGGTACTAAGGGAGAATGAAGATGTCCCACAGTCTTTGTGTTCAGAGATTCTGTGCATCATGTGTCTTCATATGTGCTTGCAGGGATTCAAGATACTTGAAGGCCTTGCCACATTGCTGACATTCATAGGTAGTCTTTTCACTGTGCGTTCTCACGTGTTTTCGCAGAGATGTGGGATACCTGAAGGCTTTCCCACAGTGCTGACATTCATCAGGTTTCTCCCCAGTGTGTGTTCTCACATGTACCTCTCAGGTTGTCAGGATACCTGAAGGTTTTCCCACATTCCTTACATTCATAGGGTTTCACCCCACTGTGAGATCTCATATGTCCTCGAAGGGAGCAGAGACGACTGAAGGCTTTCCCACAGTGCTGACATTCAAAGGGTCTCTCCCCACTGTGCGTCCTTGCATGTATTCGAAGGGATGAAAGAAAACTGTAGGCTTTCCCACACTCCTTACATTCATAAGGCTTCACTCCGCTGTGCATTCTCATGTGACCTTGAAAATGTTGAAGCTGCCTAAAAGCCTTCCCACATTCCTTGCATTCATAGGATTTCTCCACACTGTGTGTTCGCACATGTTTTTGAAGATAAGAGTGACTAATGAAGGCTTTCCCACATTGCTGACATTCATAGGGTCTCTCCCCAGTGTGAGTCCTCACATGTACCCGCAAGGATGCAGCATACCTGAAGGCTTTCCCGCAGTGCTGACATTCGCAGGGTCTCTCCCCAGTGTGGGTCCTCACATGTACTTGCAGGTTGGCGGGATATCTGAAAGCTTTCCCACATTGCTGACATTCATAGGGTTTCACCCCACTGTGCGTTCTAACATGTCCTCGAAGAGAGGAGTGACGACTAAAGGCTTTCCCACAGTGCTGACATACATAGGGTCTCTCCCCACTATGTGTTCTTGCATGTTCTTGCAAGTTGGTGAGATATCTGTAGGCTTTACCACACTCCTTACATACATAGGGTTTCACTCCACTGTGAGTTCTCACGTGTCTTCTAAAGTATTTCGGGCTACCAAAAGCCTTCCCACATGCCTTACACTCATAGGCTTTCTCTCCAGTGTGGGTTTTCACATGTCCTGTAAGGTAAAAGTAATACATAAAGGCTTTCCCACATAACTTGCACACATGGATTTTCTGTCCACAGCGACCTCTCACATGTCCCCGAAAGGATGAGGAGCAAGTGAAAGCTTTTCTGCATTTCTCACATTCAAAAGAGTTCTTATGACTGAGATGCTTCCCGTTTCGCTTGGATGCATGCCCTGCATCCTGACGTTCACAGGGTTTCTCCACAAGGTCTGTGTCCCCGGAAGTGCTGAGGCATGGGACACACCTGCTGCCTTCTCCACACTCCTCACAGGAATGAGGTCTGGGTCCAGTGGAAGAGTCGGGCTGATTTTTTAGGAAGGAATGATCTGGGCAGGAGTTTCCACGCTTGCTGCATCCGGAAGATTTACCTGCATTCGGACGTCTCCCAGGCACAGAAAGATCTGTGATCTGAGTCAGGGTGTCTCCACACTGACGACCTCCATTACGTTCACAGGGTCTCTGCACAAAATGACGGCTGTTCAAATGGGAAGCACACTGTTAGGGACTAATGTCCATAAGTGATATCCTTGTTAATGAATATTGACGGTGCTAACGATCATTTTGACTATGTGTTTGCCATTTTCAATGCATGTGTATGTTCCTGGCTGTTTACAATGTTACATCGTGGAACGACATCAATGCTCTGACTGAGCTCACACAGAGCCACGACTCTCACTGTTTCTTAAGTCTGGGTTTTTTTGACCACTGTTTCCAAATGAATTCTATTTCAGACACTCAATATCTACATTACAGTTATGAAAATGATGTCCTATAAACGTTCTTTGAGTACACTATTGATGAGCTAGGTTTACATTTTCTCTTAAATTTTAAGTTAGTGTATCACACTGCTGAGGTCCCCCTGCCCCGTGGAGATGCTGCTCACCTCCAAGGCCTCTCCTGCATTTGCTGCTGATCTGCAACGTTATGTAATGTCCAGGGTTCTTCAAACACAGACCACAAATCTTTTCCTGTGAATCTTACAATTTTCTCTTCACTGGATATTTCCTTCACCAAAATTTTCCTCTGAGAACATGATCCACTGGTTTTGTGCGTGAAACAATCTGCAACAATTGGTACCACATTTAGTTTCTTGGGATCAAGATGGTGGGATAGAGGAAAGCAAATAGATCATATGTGGATTTTTTTTTTTTATCACATACTGATCCCAAAATGTAGCCAAATTTAATATGATGGACTGAACATCTGAGCCAAGAAAAACTCTTAGAGAACCTCAGCTCTTTGAGACTTTGGCAATAATAGGAAAAATCGGTCAAAATGGCAGCCTGTTCACTAAGAAATAGTTTAAGAGATGGAGATTGATGCTTAAATAAATGTTATCAGAAAATCAAAGTAGAAATGAAACAGGCAAAATGCACGTGTCAAAATGCTCCCTGTAAAGAGCTACAGAAAGTCTTTCCAAGTGCTTTAGAATGGATGAGAAGTACAACGGGGAACCATGGAAGTGACAAACGTCACCCTTCTCACACACATTGAGTCGTGTTTCTAATAGATGTGTACAAATATCATTCCCTTATCTAGAACCTGCTGTTCCCAAGGGTTGTTTCTCTCCTGGTATACACAGACACAGAGGACCTAGAGGAAGTCTTTCCCCACAGGCCAGGGGCCATTGGGACCTCAGATGATGTGTGGGTTCCTGCCCTGCTCCTGCACAAAATCTCATCATGGAGGATGATGGAGGGCAACAAACATTACACGAGATGGGCCAACACCAAGATCTTCAGGCCAGTGATGCTAAGTATGCGTGGAATTAATTGCAGCAAGATCACAATGTCAAATGTGTATTAACCCCAGAGGTGACAATCATGAGGTTGTTCTGACTCCCCCACAGCGAACTGGAGACAAACTGACACTTACAAAATTAGGGAGCATCAGACTTTTGATCAAAATGAATAAATATTTAGATTAATATATGAAACTTTGTTTTCATGGAAAAGCCATTTGACTATAGATAGGTAGGTTCCATGAACACTGGAATAATGTCTTTTTTCCAACATATTTTCATTTCTTTGCCCCAATTAGAAAAATTAATTGTCGGGAAGAAGCTGTCCTTACCCACGGAAGCCAGGTTCCGGCAGGTCTCCAGCATCACATCTTGGTAGAGCCTCCTCTGAGAATGATCCAGCAAAGCCCACTCTTCCCGGGTGAAGTTCACAGCCACATCCGTAAAGACCACTATGTCCTGAAACATCCCACATATTCTGTTTCAACAAGACACCACTTCACCAGTGCGTACGGGAGGAAGGGGGAGGCTCAATTTCTAGAACTCCTGGAGCTTATACTCTCATGGAAAATGAAAATGAACAAGCAAATCAAATGCAGTATGCTCAATGAAAGTAAGTGCTTGGAACCTTGAAGCAAAGTGTGATGACAACTGATATAAATTATCCACATGTAATTAAAAAGAATGATTTTTACTAAGATATAGCCCATTTTGAAATAAGGTGAAGGCTAAAAAAATAAAACCATCATTCACATAACACGGTAAGAGAGAGTGGACTTGCTCAAAACTTACTTCCTTGTCAGCACCAAGAGCTGGAACCAGAATGTCAAAATATCACAAACTCTGAGATGTCAGGGGCAGCCTCATCTGAACAACTCTCGCCTTGGGAGTCATCAGCATCGAGGAGCCTGGTCTAGTCCCATCACATGCAAAAAAGACAGAGACCTGACACCTCCCGGGGTGAGGTGGATGCTATAGGAACAGACATAGAGCAGAACCCAAGGTCTGGCACACCTGCTAGTATTGAAGTGCCTGATTCTGAAAGAATCTATCAAGGCAACAAGGTCTCTCATACAAACAACCAAGAGCCTGGAATTAGAGAAAATGGCTCACGAAGAAGAATCACTGAAGGATCTAATGGCAATGGAGTCAAAGGCGACTTTAACATAGAAAAAAACCACCTAATTTATATTATAGAACAATATGGCATGACCTTATACCAATGAAATATAGAGCAAACGGGGAAATTTTTCAGATATTAAAAGAATATGTTCTCAAAATCTCAAAAAAGAAAAGTGTCGACTACATCAGCTACTTCAACCAGGGTTGCGAGCGGGGTTTGCGCATCGCACACTCGATACCAGACTCGTGTTCTAAATATATATAGGAAACCTCATGTGGCAACAATTTAAAAAAAAAAAAGGCAACAAGATAAAGAGACATAATATAATTAAGTAACGGGCACAGAATGTGAGTAGACTTTCTCCAAAGATGAAATACAAATGGCCAATGAGCACACGAAAGATGCTGGACCTTAGTCATCAGGAAAATGCAAATCAAAACTACAGCCGATACCTGTTCTCACCATGAGGACGGCTGTGGAGACAAACAGACCGGCACTGCCCAGGATGTGAGGAAGATGGGGCCCTCACACAGGGCTGATTGGAAGGAAAGTGAAGAAACCACTTCGGAAGACAGCCTGGCGGGTCTTCAAACCCATGAGCATGTAACCACATAACACAGCAATGCCACTCCTAAATAGCTCCGTACCCGGGAAAAGCAAAAACAAATATCAACATAAAACTAGTACAGTCATGTGCCAAATAACGCTTCAGTCAAGGACGGACCATATGTATGGAAGTAGTCCCACAAGATCATAACAGAGCTGAAAAAATCCTACCACGGCCATCGTAGCGTCGTAGCATAAGACATTACCCACGCGTTCGGGGTGGTGCGGGCATAAACGACCTCCTGTGCCGCCAGTCAGATCAAAGTGTAGCACAGATAATAATGTACACGCCACTGGATGATGATAATAAACAACTATGTCACCGCTTTATGTATTTACTATTGTGAGGAAATTTTCCCAAGGTGCCAAGAGACCGAAGAAAGAGGCTGATGACTCCAGCAGTAAAAGAGGAGCTTCCAGGGGAACTTACAGAAAGAAGCGGAGGCTTCTCTGCAGCAAGATGGCATCTCTGCAGCAAAAAGGGGCTGTGGGTGTGGGATATACAGCGAAGGGGCACGTGCCAACGCAGGTGGCTTGTAGCCATGTGGCATGTGCTTCTTAAAGAGCTGTGTAACCCAAAGCAGCAAAGAACTTAATCAGCCCACCTGTCTATACGAGAACGTTTCTTTCAGGTGATGGGGGCCCATCCTCCCAAAGTAACTGGCATCCAGCGGGCTCCATAAGATGGCATGGGTCACGTTAAGTAATGGGCATCATTTCACCGAACGACTACACTATGCTTTTTATCATCATTTTAGACTTTCTCTACTGATAAAAAAAAGTGAGGTGTAAAACAGGATTCCATGTTATGCTAGCAGCAGCCTCCTACATCTCGTGTTTACCGTGTCTCTTGACTGCAGCATCTTCTCTTGTGCTTGCCTGAACCTTGCATTGTTTGGAACAGTAACCCGCTGTGCAAGCTTGCAGCCAGCGAGCAGTAAGCTGTACCACACAGCCCAGGGCTGCACTAGGCAATGCCATCTAGGCATGGATCACCTAGACGAAAGCACCTAAGGGTGCCTGTCTAAAAATGTATCCATCCTTAAGCGGCACATGACTGTATAAACATATTCAAAGCAGCATGAATCATAATAACCGAAACATAAAAACAACTCAAAAGTCCATTAACTGAATTTGATCATCGAAACGGGATAGTCACATGGAACAGTATGTGGCAACAAGAGAAAAGAAGCAGCGATCGACGGCGCAAACTCAATGACTGTGCAGAGCATGAAATCATTTGCGTGAGATGTACACAAGAAGTAAATCTATAGAAACAGGAAGTAGATGAATACATTGCCAGGACCCAGGCATGTCGAGATGGGGTAGATGCAGGGTGACTACCAATAGACGCAAGTTTTCTTCTGGGGTGATAAAACCATTTCATAATTACAATATGGGCATGCTTACACAATTCTGTAAACACATCAGATACCATTGAGTTTGATACTTTATATAGGTAAACTTTATGGTATGTAAATTATATCTCAATTAAAGAGGTCCTTAAAATTTGCAGACCAACTAAAATTATGTCCTTCTTAAACTAATAGCATCTTTATTTAAATACAAAAGAATATAAGCGAATAAAAGAAAGCGTGAAAAAGAAACAAAATTTCAGATGATTCAGACATTAAGCACATTACAAACTGCTTGTGGGAGAGATTTTTTAGATTGGCTGTAGTCAGATAAATGTATAGACATCAGTACACTTAGCTTCGAAGATGCAAGTGAACAGATCTGAGAATGTCCGTGGTCACGACAGACGCAAAAGCAGTTGACCAAATATCTGCATACTCTAAACACAAGTCTCAAACAGTTCTTTGGCCAGGTAACAAATACTCAAAAGTCAGTGGCTTCTAATTATAAAAAAAAAATCGCAGAGTATTACCAAGACCAGAAAGGAACAATTTCAAAAATATTCAAAGGAAAAAACTATTCATAAATATAAAGGCAAAAGGCTTTTTAAATGGAAATCCAACACATAAATGTATTAAAAAAATAATAAGTTACAACCACATTCATTTCATTCCAGAAAAAAAAGATGGATTAAATATTGATTGTTCAATGAGAATAATTTATTCCATTATTGGAAAAAAACACACAACCCACAGGCATCCGATCCACAGATGCTGAGGACACGCCTGTCTCACGTCACTCTTCATTCATGACAATACAACTAAAAGACGAGGCGGGAACACGCATAATCAGAAAAAAATGGTGTCTACATAAAACCCAGACCAACTTCCTACTTTGCGGTGAAACCTTGCAATTGTGCCCTCTGAGGGCAGGAACAGGAAGGTGAGGACTGGCGCAGATACAGCCCCCACCTGTGAAGGCCCAGCCAGCGCTGCCATGCAAAACAAGAAAGTGGAAAAACGTTTACAAGAAAAACAACTAACCTTCCTTAGTGCCTCATGATCAGATTTAGCATTCAGAAGTCCCCAAATCCCACAAATGATTAAATCTGTAACTGATCATGGCAAAGGTGCTAATTATAGCATAACATGCAAAAATAAATTTCAGTTCCCTGTACAGTGATGTTTTCAAAGAAACCAGTTCGTCTCTGCCCCAGGTGCCCATACCTGCCTTGGTAGCCGACTATCAAGGACGCAATGAGCGCCAACAAAGACCCAAGATGAATCTGGAAGCACTGTGTTTTATTTCTAAAGGACATTAAAGTTTCTGGGAATTTCCAAGTTTCCTTTCAACACAAGGTGAAAATGGTGATCCCAAAGTTGCCTTAATAGAAATTTCTATCCTCTCCAGGAAACAGAAGAGCAGAACGACTGGTGTGTGCAGCTCAGATCAACAGCCGGCCTCCCACAGCGCACAGGGGACGCCAAGTCAGAGGTCAAAGCCCATCCGAGTGGAGGCCGAGAACTCCCTGCTCACAGGTTGTGACCCCAAGGTGACCCCTATTAGGGAAGGAATGAAGGGACCCTAAACCTCGGAGGACAAAACTCTGGATCCCCACACAGCCCGCTCCCTCCTCAGGGTGGGACCCTCTCCTCCAGGGCTTTAGTGCTCACCAAGGAGGAAACACTCAGTTGGAATCAGTTTATTTCTGACCCCAGGTAACTCTCAAATACATCAATTTCTCTCCTAGTAAAATCCAAAGGTTCGCTCCCTAAGTCTGACCTTCACAGATTCACTCAGTTTGCACAAACACCACCAACTCTGTGAATGATGTCAAACCAACCATCACGGGTCCCAATTCACAAAATTTGCATTCAACTTTGATATCAGCTATTAACAAAAAGTGGGACAGGATCATACGGTGTCACAAAACTCTGCACTCTGAAAGGAACCGTCACTACAACTTCCGTGAATGGTTTTAATCTGTACTTCCACCGATCTTGCATGAAGGTGAGGAACCGTGTGCATCTCCCCCACAATTCTAATAAAAGGGGAGACGCTGTCTGAATAGGAGACACCTTTCCCCAGCAGCATTTATGGTTGAGCTCAGGAATAACATGACATAGTAGGACAAAGAACTGAGACACACACGACTGTCAGAAAGGACAAGAAATGAGGCAGAAAGAACTGTAGCGTTACATCTGCTGAAATCTGAGGCCAGAATAATGGAAAGCTCCTAGTGCTGAAATGGACACAGAACACTTCTCTGAGGGGTCAGGTGACAATGTTGAGTCCTGCTGAGCCCTGTGCTCCTGGAGTCCTTGATGAAGGTGAGAGGAATCTGCCCCCTTTCATCATCCAACTTAGATAAGACTCTCAGATATCTCCCATGTTTACCTATGACAAGGTCAGAGGCAGACGCCCCACACTCTCATTCTGAGTCCTAAATGATTAGCTAAATTGTTCGTCCAAGCAGAGCAAATGCGTGTAGCCCAGACATGGTTCAGCATCTCTCCCAAACTCACAACCCTGACCTTGGTCTGTGCTCAGCCTGAGCCCCCAGACAGCCCTCCTAAAGTCAGACTGACCCAGGGACCTGCCATCCCAACCATACCTGGTCCTTCCTCCTTTTGTTCACGCCTCTCTACAAAGGTAAAACTCAAAAAAAAAAAAACAACTTTTGAGATGCTTGCAGATCATATGGTCACAGCATTGTCCCCACTGCACAGCCCCTGCCCCCACCCCTTGCGGTTATTCTTTTGAATGAACATCCCTACTTAAAGCCTGGATTTTTCATATTCCATAGGCTGGACCAAGGCTTGACAATCGCCCGTTTCTTACCCAAACTTTACTCCGGCTCCTGTCCTCCCCACAGGGCCACACATGGCTCCTGCCCCTCTGAACAAGCGCTTAGACGCAGACAAGGCCGCGCCGATCTGAGCAGAGAGGGTGCTGAGCACACGGGGACGGTTCCTGTCACAGCGCCCTCTGCTCATCGTCCACACACGCGGGACCTTTTCTGTCTGATTTGGGACGCGCATCTCTCAGATCCGAGCACTGCCCCTATGCTCCAATCCTTGGAAAAAGGTCTTCTGCTCGCCCTCCACACACGCGGGCCCTTTTCTGTCTGATTTGGGACGCGCATCTCTCAGATCCGAGCACTGCCCCTATGCTCCAATCCTTGGAATAAGGTCTCTTTAAGCAAGTCCTGACTTTGATCTTGTCTGTCAGATCCAGGGCGTGTCCTCTCACCTGGCGTCCACCCCGCCCGAAGCCCCTGACGGCTACCATGGTTGTCGTCTCGTCCTCCGCTGTCTCCCGCCCGGCCAAGGACACGGGTCGGGCCTCTGGGACCCCTCCGCCGGGCCGGGACAGGACGCTGGGACCCCACCCCGCGGCCGAAGGCAAAGATGAAGGTTAGACCTCGGAGGGAGCAGGGAGCCCAGGCCGCTTCCAGGCGATTCCGGCTGGTTCGATCCACCCCTCCCTGTCTCGTCCCCTTACCCCCTCCTCCATGCATCCCTCCCCTCACCCCACCTCACGCCGCGCCCCGCACTCACCATCTCGCGACCGCGCAGCGGGCTCTCCCGGCGTCCTCCTCACGGCTCCGCAGCTGGGATAGGTGAGCGACGGTGACAGGACGCCGCAGGCCGCTCCCCGCAGGTGCGCAGGACCGCCTCCCTCCGCGGTGGATGCGCGATGCTTTGGTCTCCCGCACCCTGATTGGACAGGGCTTCGGGAACCCGCCACATGATTGGACGGATTTCCAGGCGCTCCCGTCCTAAGGATTCTGATTGGACAGATCTCTGTCACACCACCCGGCCGGGCTTGTCCTGTTTTTGAGACCTTCATCCGGTTCTTTGACTGGGAAGTTCCTTGGCCCCGCCCCTGAGGTCCCGATTCGGCTCCGGCCCCGCCTCCGTCTTTCCTCATTGGACAGAGTAAGCCTGAGTGACGGGCGAATGCGGAGGTCGCGTGGCGAAACCGGGAGAAGTGGGACAGTGGTCCTCAGCCCCTCCCTACATGGCGAGTTCTACAAATCCGCACCCCTGGTGCGGGATGTGGCACTCTGAGCCTCACCCGATCTCAGCAGGCGGGTTCTGCGTGGTGTAGGTCGCAGCTCAGGGTCACCACCTTGTCCTCCTGTACTGGGCAGTTCTGCCTCAAGTTTGTGGGTGGATTGTTCCTGTATGTACTGTCTGGTGATCTCTAGGGTCGCGACGGTGTAGTGGCAAGGTCACCGTGGATCTGTGCCCTTTAAGAACAAATGTTGCAGGAAGCAACATCCGACTCAGGAATTTGGACCCTCAGACAACTTTGTTGGAGGAAGAATTTATAGGCCAGTGGAGTGTGTGGGGCTTAACAGCACCAATGCACAGAGCTCTCTTTGATTCCATTTATTAGTTTATGTACCTCTGCAGTGTCCATGCAAGGGGTGCGTGATTCCTTTGAGGTTCCACGTGTGCTTCATGACTCAGGATGGGGAGGGGGAGCTTTGGGTGGGGGGCTGCAAGGGGGGAGGAATTTCCAGACCACTGCTCTTACAGGTCATTTGCCTTACAGAACCTGCGACCTTGGCGTTATCAGCACTGTTATACAAAGATAGAACACTGAGGCTATAAGCAGGAAGCAGCACTTATTAATGCTGGCTCCTGCTCAGTGGATTCCTATCCAAAGGCTGAGCCCCAATTGTAACCTAACAGGCAGTTTTATCCAGTCTTGTTATGTCTACACAGGTACAGAGATAAGGAAGAACTTTAGTTGTTTGGCAAGCCATGAATCAACAGATGTGAGCTGGAGAGTCCTTGAGGCGGGGGAGATAGCTATGGGAAAACATGTTAACTGGAGAGTCCTGAAGTGGGCGGGGGGTGGGGGGGTGGCAGGGGGAATCGGGAATGGACTTTAACAGGCTGAGTCGGTCATTTCTGCAACCCCTTTCCTTTGCATTTTTCAGATTCCTCCTCTCCTCTCTTACAAAGACACTCATTGACCTGATCGCCTGCAAGGCAAGGTCCGGATGAGTTTTCACGTGTGACTTTTGACACCATGAGGACCAGCCCTACTCCCGTCTTCACGTTGGGGCTTGAGATCAGCAACTTGTGGCCCCCGGTCCTTTGCCCCTACTAGACGTGGGACCTTGTGGCCTCAGCCAACATGTGTCAGCACAGCCACAAGTGTGGGATGTTCGAATTCTCAGGTGTCCGTTTTACCCTGCAAGGGAAATCTGTCAGCTCAGGATTTTAGTCCCTACGAATTGAAAGGCAAAAGGTCGTATTTTATAAAGACTGACTAGGACTTTAAAGGAACATAATCAGTTGAGTGGATCCACAGAGGAGCTAGGGCTTATGGGAGAGGTCTCGGGATGTGGAAGAGCCTGCACACTAGGACACCCCCAGGCCACTACAGGAAGCACTCTATGCTTTCCTTAAAGTTCCGTAGTTGTAACCACCCCTCTCCTGAACTTCCTCCCCCTGCTCTCCCCACCCTCCACTCTATAAGTACCTCTCCAACTTGGCACAGAGTTCAGTGTGTGCCCATGGCTAGCCATGGCTGCATGCCCTGGGTTGCAATCTTCTTCCGCCAACCACCCCCTCCCGCCAGAATAAATCCTTTTTGGGATGAAACACCTAGTCGATATTGTTTTCCAGTCAACGATTTCCTTATTTAGATTGTATAGTGATGTTGCTCAGCTTTGTGAATGTACAAAAAGCCAGAGTTTTACACTTTAGAGTGTACGTAAGTAAATTACATCTTCATTTTCAAAAACAAATTTCAAGGCCGTAATAGCCACAATAACCCTAACTCCTGGCCACCACTAAAATACTTTCTGTCCTTGTGGATTCCCCTATTCTGGATACTTTATATAAAGGGAATCACTACACTGTTGCCTTTTGTGTCTGGCTGATTTCACTCAGCGTATTTTCAAAATTCTTTCATGTTGCAGCACGTGTCAGTGCTTCATATCTTTTCTTGGCTGAATAATATTCCATCCTATGTATATGCTACATTTTGTTTATCCATTCATGAAGCTAAGGAGTTAAGACCCCTCAAAAAATATCTTTAATTAAAAAAAAATAGGTTGGTAAACTAGTTTAGACTAACAGCCACAAGAAGGAAGTCACACAGCTCCCTGTTAAGTATTATAGAAATTGCTTGGCCTGGGACCTGTTAGGCTGTGGAAAAAATAAATAACAGACAGCAGAAATAATGACATAGAGTAAGGTCACAAGATGTATCGCCCTTACGCCTGCATATCAAGATAACCTAGTAACATGCATCAATAGGATGTTTTATGGCCCACAAAGCAAACACACTGAAACCAATGGTCCTGATTGAACATATGATTCTGATTTAACAAGTCACCCCAGCCATCTATTCAATTTTTCCCAGCATGCCCTGTAAGCCTCAGCCCTTTCCTTACTAGTCATTAATCCCAAGGCAGCCGGAAACAGTGGCCAGGCCTTGACTAAGGGTCACAGGTATGGGTAAAGATAACATCATGGCCCATGTTTCAGCTCCTGAACCCTACAGTGGACGACCCCTGGCCACATCCCCCATGAAAGCAGACTGAGGGATGCCAAAGCTGACCTCAGGACCTGAAATTATGATTTACTGCCTTTACTTCACTCTTGACCAGTCTGCAAGGCTCATGACCCCGAATCCTTTATTTATGATGTCTTGTGATTTTGCTCTTTAAAACCCCGTCTTATAAAGGAGTTTGGGCTTTTGAGCATTAGCTTCCAATTCTCCTGGGTGGCACCATTCATAATAAAATAGCCAGTCTCTCTCCACTGCAATTCTGAGTTAAGTATTTGGCTCTGCTAAACAGGTGGACAAACTCTGATAACATTCAACCATTGAAGGAGTTGGGAATGTATCCACCTTCTGTCCATTTTGAATAGTGCTACAAGGAACATTCATATAACATATCTGAGTACCTGTTTCAGTATAGGGAGGAGAGAAATAGTAGGGTCATATTGTAATTCTATGTTTAACTTTTTGAGGACCCACCAAGCTCTCTTCCGCAGTGGCTGCACCAGTTCACCTTCCCACGAGCAGTGGCCATGGGCTCCAATTTCTCCACATCCTCAATACTTTTTCCTGACTTGTCTCATTTTAGACATCCTAATGGGTAGAAGTGGTATCACCTTTTGTTTTGATTTGCATCCCTCTGGTGATTAGTGATGTTGAGAATCTTCTCATGTTTACCATCATTTGTATTTCATCTTTGGAGAAATGTCTATTCAAGGCTTTTGCCTATCTGTTAAGTGGGTTCTTTGCATTTTTGTTATTGAGATGGAAGCTTTCTATTGAGTGATAAAAACTTATCACCTGTAGGATTTATGAATGTTCATTCTGTGAGGTGTCTTTTCACTCTCTTGATAGTCCTTCGATGCACGAAAAAACTAAATTTTGATGAAGTCCAACTTATATATTTGCTCTTGCATTGCTTGTGCTTTTGGTGTCATCTTTGACACCAAAATGAGTTACCGAATATGAGTTCATGAGGATTTCTCCCTGTGTTTCCTTCACTTTCGTGTTACCCAGGACGGCCTGCTGGTGGGGGCCAGGATTCCCAGCAGAGCCTCTTTTAAGTGCTGGAACTGGGTGAAGCTCCTGATACAGCACGTGCCCCCTAGATAGTTTTTTAATGTGAAAGAACATGAAGTTTAAGGTAATAAAGTTTCCACTTCACATAATAACTACTTAGTGATAATCCTAAAAAACTTGTTACTAATCTTTGCCTATGGTTACCCATATATAGTTTCAGGTATCTATAACACAATTGTTTCAACTCTGAAAAATAAATGTTACTTTT